AGGCTTCCGATTTCTGTCCATTTTAAAATTGTCTTCGTTTTGATACACCCCGTATATCTCCATTTTATTATATATACAAGGTCTGGATATGAGGTATTCTGGTTCTCTACTAGCAGGATATTAGCTCATATCCTACTAGTAGAGAAAAACAAAATGGCGGCTCAAACTGAATTTCCGATTTTTGCGAACGAGAAAACGGCAAGTTGTTCGCTTTATATAGCCTTTACAGGATTAAAAACACAATAAAAAATCTCCCCCAAATTGTTTACAGGTTAGCAAATGAATTTTCAAAATTTAAAATGGTTAAAAATATATATTTTTGAAAAAATAATCGGCCGAAAGAGCGAAGATAAAAACATAAAAAAATATTGAAAATATCCGAAAAGCAAAGTCTGTGAATTCAGACCTTGTGTATATAATAAAACAGTTATTCCACTCACTCTCGTCGAATATGAGCGATAGCCGATTCGGCGTTACGCGCCTCATCGGCTATCGGCTCATATTCGACTCGAGTTCGTAGAATAACTGCGTGTTAAATATTCACACCAGTATATTGTCCCTTGTATGAGCATTTTATTCATCGTCATCCTTATATCATAATCTCAATGTTTAGCCGATGGCTTACCTATACGATCCTTCATATATGAACAAACAACCTGAAGGCATGCAAACACCCTACGTGAACACGCCAACGGTGCAGAGACCCGATTTCCGCCATCAAGATCCGCAGTCTTGGTACTTACAAAGGTATCAATTATAAAGAAACAAGAAAGGTAACAGTAATTTCCATGTAATCAACTTCAAGTAGCTGATATTTTGGCAGACGCATAACCCCGTAAGTAAAAACCAACTAATATTTAGGATGGTTAGAAATATTTAGATTATATAAGAGGTTTAGATTTGATAAATCACAATGAAATTTGAACATTGAATCCAGCAGTTTTTTGCTGTAGTTGAAACGCAATCGTGATTACGTAGTTAAATAAATGATAATTAATATTCACTTATTATTACGCAAAAAGGCGAAATGCAACGATATGGTCAACATATTTTTTGCAACACTTTTTAGTGCTGTACAGTTTTTCGTCAAAAATGCAGGAAATGGTATTTCCGAGATTTTTAAACTTTCTTCCCGAGGGAGCATGCCCCCGGAACGTCTTAGTTTTAACTGCGACATCCACAAATTTCAGTCTCCCCCTTAACTTTAGATATATTGCAACGCTATTGAACTAGGCTTGAGGATTGTGTACTTTTTGAACCGATGTGGAAAGTATACCAATAGTGAAATTCAAATCTAAACCTCTGTTTTGACATTAAGTACAGAATACACAATCGCAAAAATATTTTAACAAATTATCCTCACTCTGGATAACCACGAGTTGACCAAACGTTGTGAGTGCGTGTGTAACTATTGCATCGGCTTATTATTAATTTTAAGTCAGAGCTGACGACTTCATGCATAATTGTTCTAATTAGAGGTGTGCATCGGATCGGACGTTTATAATCCGACAATTGCATGGCTAATGTTTAAAATCCGATCCGATATATATTGTCTAATTCGAATCCGATCCGAGTTTTGATAAAGAATTCCGATCCGATCCAAAGAATCTTTTAATAACATAAATGTCTCATTCAAGTGGAAATATTTAACCAAATTAAATAAATATAAAAGCAAGAAATGCATGTCAAGAAGCTGACAAAGTGACGTCCAATTGAAGTATCAAACGAATAATGCAGCGTCAACCGCGTTGCCGTGGATAATTAATTCATAAAAGTCCGATCCGACTACGAAACAACTTTATCAATCCAATCGGAAATGGATATTTTTGTTCCGAAATCCGCACGAATCCGATCGGATTTGTACACCTCTAGTTCTAATTACTGTATACAGGCCACAACGACGACGTCTTTATTAGCATGTTTGAATAAATTGCGGCGACGAGACCGAGCATTGCGCTCACATTTCAAAAGAAGGATATTTTTAACTTATTACAAGAAAACAAAAAAAGCGCTTGTGTATTCTTTCCTTGTGTTAAGCTAACGTTTTTTAATATCAAACGTTTATAACGTTCATAATTAGTTTTTATAAGCATACATTCAAGATTATTTCCTTGGTATAGCAAGGATATTTAAAATTACTTATACCGAATAATCTGTAGTTTAATTATACTAACAACATATTGTAGTTGCTATATCATTAAGGTAAAATATTTTGCTTCTTTATTTTGGAGCAAGGCGCATGCACAGGTCAGAAATATTTACAATACTTTCATTATCAAACAGGGCACGGAAATATATTCTACATTTAATGACAGCAACCAGGTTTAATATCATATACAATTACTTTATGGTTTCCGTGTTTGGATGGCCTGATCCAAACACGCGGGAATGTTGCGAGAGTTAAGAAAAGCGAGCGAAATCACGAGCCGAAGGCGAGTGATTTTGCCCGCTTTTCTTAACTCGAGCGACATTCCCAAGTGTTTGGATCAGGCCATCCAAACACGGAAACCATAAAGTAATTGTTTTATAAAATAACAACAACACGGTAGTCTTCCGTGTTTGGATGGCCTGATCCAAACACGGCTTTCGACCAATCAGAATACGCGTTATATACATGTTATTTTATAATACCTGTTACTGCTCGCTACTCGAGCTCTGGTTTTAAGTAAATGAATGCCAACGCCCAATGCATGAGTGTTTTGGAGATTTTGGAGGTAACGTAGCCAACTGTGGCCTTCTTTCAAAAACACTGGATTGTGGATATTTTCTGACCTTTATTATATACGTTCTGTATTTTTTATTGTAAAATATGCTGTAAAATATAGCTGACGCACATAACACCTAGATATTTACTATAATATCAAGCATAAACGCTTAATTGCAAATGCACTATAATTAATAATTATGCACAACATGTATATTACATTTAAGTTGCGTTTAAACATAGAGATCAATTATAGGCTGGTTTTGGTTTTTAAATTCCAATACTTCTGACTTATTGGGGAGTACCGAACTCTCTTGAAACGTCAGAGTGTCTTAATTTAATACGTTTCGGGCATTTAACTGATTGATTTAATTAGCATTTCTCACAAGAGGTCAATATCCGCCATTTTGGGGCCAATGTCTTCCCAGATCAGATAATCTAGGCAGTCTAATGTGAAGAGCGACTTTTCGAAGTATAGTGTAATTGATTTATGGTGATTATAAAGATTTATTTGCGTAGCAAATTTCTGATTGTTTACCAAAGCTATATATATATATATATATATATGTAAAATGGCAACATAACGTTTCATGCATTCTAAAGTATTACGCTATTTTACAGTGGCGAAGCTGGTCATGGCAACTGGTCAATCTAAGCTAATAAACGGTTTGAATAATGCAAATCATGACAAAATTGCATAACATGACCTGTGTTATAGCTGGCTTCGACGCTGCTATTTTAGTGAAGTTGTGCATACCTCATAATTTCCAATACTGTATATTTCTCCCACAAACGCTTAATATGTGGACAAAATGTACGATTAAAACTCAAAGTTTTGTTGTGATAATCAGCCCGGCAGATCAAAGTGTGTAAATGCAACTTTATATGTAAAAACTGTCACACAGCACGTTTAATTTTGCACAAAAACACAATGTGTTTTCAACATAGGTTTTTTATATTACTATACTAGTTTTAAGTGATCCGATAATTGGAGGATCTGTTATGTAAGCTATGTAATTGATGTAATTACGTCATTTACAGTCAGTGAATAAATATTAATTAATAAAGTATGATATGTATCCAGGTATCAAATCATTATTTATCATATTTGCATGCACGTTAATTATTAAACATTTCGTCATTTGTATTTTCTTCATCATTGTATTTAAATTGTAACAATTTTCAAGTTATACGTAATAAATATTTTTATAAGCAAAAAATGTGCAATGGTAGTATTATTTTTAAGACACATTTTCGACCACAATGGACCTCGTTTGCCTGATAGTGAGATTCTTACGATGAAATGTAAAGGCTTTGAAGGACTCCCCAATGCAAAATATTTTATTGCAATTTTCCCAATATTTTGACACTATCGCATTTCATACAATAGTTTCTTTCACAAATAGTTAAAATTTTATCAATTTTTATATCGGCCTCTTCACAGAGGACATGTAGTCTCTCAAAGAGAAAAAGAAATCGAAGACTTTCAAAAAAATTTTCTGCCTATTTCCAAAGACTTTTGAAAGATCTTTGTCTTTGAGAGCAATCAGCTGTTGAAAAATTGTGATCGTAGAACCAATTCCTTGAGACCTGAAAACCACTCTCCTCCGGAGAGGCTTTGTAGTTTGAGGTTTTGTGACTTATCTTTTATCACTCTATCAGGGCTGGTTGTTTATAATTAATAACCTGCATGCGGGTTGGAGTAGGCTAGAAGCAGGTGCGTGGGGTTAAAAGGGGCATCGTGGACATATGGAGATAATAGGGAATCACAAAAACAATAACATGGTAAATGGTATTGATATAAACCATTAAGGTAGTCAACCCCTCTTGAAACTTTTTTTTTAATTTTTAAGTAGATTTATGCAAAAATATCATTTTCTGAAAGGGTCAGGTGAAAGAAAATGACCAATGCAAAAATTTTTTAACAAAGTCGTTAATTACACTAATTATCCAATATGGCGGCCGTTAA